CCCCATAAAGGGACTTGTTGAGCAACAGGTGGCCTCCTCTGTGCAAGCAGGATAAATACGCTGGCGATGCCTTACTGTTTACCACGGCGCCGACGGGCTCTCACACACGGTCTCGCTCCCCTTCCCCCTTCAAGCACTAACTGACGATGAACAGCAAGAACATGATGTGAAAGGAAACAGACAGGTCTTCACACTCCTTCGGGCTGTTGCTAACACATCGACGTGGGCCTCCCTCCCTCTGACTTCTTTTACAGCTGGGCAGATCTGGGTTTATTTCTGTGGTTCCATTTGAGGTCACTATATCAAGATGAACTACAGGGTACACAATGTTCAAACAGCTGTCTGTTCCCTACGTCAGAAGTGCGGGCCCTGAGTAAGGGATTCTTGAAACACATGGTATATGTTTGGTGTTGTCGGAGTTAGGGGAAGTAGCATAGAAATATCAACGTCTGTCTATTCCTTTTTATGTGAATACTGTATTGATCAAAACTCACAGATGTGGAATAATCTGATAGTTACTCGTTTTTGTGTGTATTTGTGTGTTATTTTTTTAATATATTTTTATTGACTTAAGAGAGGAAGGGGGAGGGAGAGAGATAGAAACATCAATGAGAGAGCATCATTGATTGGCTGCCTCCTGCACGCTCCCTCCTGGGCATCGAGCCTGCAGCCCAGGCATGTGCCCTGACTGGGAATCAAACTGTAACCTCCTGGTTCATAAGTCGACGCTCCACCACTGAGCCACGCCGGCCGGGCTGTATTTGTGTTTTAATTGTAGAGCAAGGTGCTGACCTGATGTGCCCTTCACACCTGTTGACGCAGATGTTTCTCAGCTCACCTGTCGTTGCCTGCGGAGTGCTTGTCAAGGATCAAACACTGGAAATAGAGAAGGCCAGGACTGTCCGTTTGCAACTCCGATTCTATCCCAAAGGGAGAGATACTTGATTTTGAGTGTGCTTATACTAAAAGCGGCTCTTCTCCCTCTAATATGGGGCATTCAACATTAACGGCTTAACCACAAAAATGACCTTCTGCAGGATTCAGCTTCCGTATCCTAATATACATTTTTTGTTACTGCTCATTCCTATTCATGCACTTTTAACAAAATTTAGATTTACGACGTTTCTTCTTTTCCCTTTCTCTTTAATAGCTGTTGTAGGTGTCAAGTTCCTCCTATCAAACTGGCCCGATTACCTCTCACTCACCGTGGAATTCATTTTCTCTAGCTTATCTCTCCTGAAACAAATTGTTAGCTTTGATGAGATGTTCAATAACAGGAAGAAATAAGCCCAAAGGCCCCTTGGCACAAAGAACTGATGCAATAAGATTAACTTAAACATTTGCAAGTGATAGCTTTTCTATACTGATTGATCGCAACAGTCGCAGCGACACTGCAGCGAGCTGTCAGGAGAGCCAGTTGCACACAGTAGGTGTGTCGTTCTTGGACAATTAGCAGCCGAGTGTGTAAGAACACTCTACAGGAGCACTCCTATGTTCTATGTCGTCCGACCATTTGTATCATCTTTTCTAACGTGTCTTTGGAAATGTACAGCCCTACTGATACTTTTCAGATATTTTTATCAAATGATCCACCCAGTTATGTAGCAAATAATACTCAGCTAGTCGTCTCTTTACTAAAGTTCTATACAAAACCTTAAAGGAAGATAAATGAGGAAATTAATTCTTTCGGGGGCTGGAGCCAGTGTGTAGACATGAGTGGGGAGGGGACTGTGGGCAGAGGAAACAGAGGTAGTGACGGCTGGTCTGGGAGGGACACAGGTCAGTAGGCTAACCTGACTCCCTTCGTTAGACAGGGACCGATGTGGAGAGCGTATGTGTGGTCTGTTTCTTAACTATTTAGAACCAGCTGTGTGGCCACGTGTAATCACGGCATCATTGATCCCGCGGTGGGATCTCTGTGGCGTATGGAGAGCGTTGGCTCATCTCCAGCACTGCGAGGGGTCACTGCATACGGGCTCTGCGGGGCGCCGTGGCCGCAGGGAGGGAGACGCCAGCTCACTATTCGGTTGAGAACAGGCTCCGTCTATTTGACATCAGCCGAAGGCCCCATCTCGCCTCTCAGCGGTCATCCCCGCCATCACATACATGTCAGGCCCACGGCTACTGACCACCAGGTGGTTATAGCTTCAGATGCTTACTTTCATTTGTCCCCTTTTAAAAATAATTTATTACTCTGACGCTGCGTCTGGTCTTGCGGGTAGGAATGAAGAGGGAGCCTTCATAGTTCTCGCGTGCAAGGGACGGCAGAATTTCACTTCAGGGAGCAATTTCGCTAAAGGAGATGATGGCTCAGGCCTGGAAAATGGGGAAGAAAATTAAGAAGTTGAAAGAGGCACTCAGTTTGACCTTCGGGGCCCGCGTTCTCTCTGTCAGAAAAAGGACGCAGTAAAATGCTGGCTACTTACTGCCGGGGCCTGCGAATGAGGGCTCAGAAGTTCCTCAGTGGAAAACATCTTAGAGCTGCTAAATGGATTCGCTGAGACGCCAGCTTCTGAGAAAGGCATTTTGAAAAGACTTGTGCAGCATGAAAATTGCCAGGTAAATTGAAGAGAAATGTTTCTTAAAGTCACAAACTTCACTTGTAATTTAGCTCATCAAGAAATTCTCAGTCCCATTCTCTGGTGCTTTTCCCTTTATTCGCAGTGTGAAACCAGAGAGATTTGGTGCCCTCGGTAATTGGGGGACCGCCAGTCCTCCAGAGAGAGGGCGTCACGGGGGCCTCAAAGCAGCAGGGTACCCGCACCTATCACTCCCACGTGCTAGCACTACGACATGTAGCTATATACTATATGCTACATATTACCTATAATAATAAAAGCATAATATGCTAATTAGACCAGACGTCCTTCCAGACGAAGCCGGGGTTGCGAGGGCAGCCCGGGGAAGGGAGGCCTACTCTTGCATGAATTTCGTGCACCCCCCACCCCCCACCCCCTCTAGTATACTATAACTATATAGTAGTTATTAGAATTAGAAATTATTATCTTATGGCCCAGCATAGAAACCAGCGACCTCTTGGGGCCTGGGACGACACTCAATCCACTGAACCACACCGGCCAGGCCCCAATAAGATTTTAAGTCTGTTTTGGTCATTCTGAGCAGGCTGCATGCCACGTATTATGCAAGGCAAGTGATCGTTCACCTATTGTCGGATTCTACCTTGAAGCGAGTGTTTCTCGAAGGACATGCTACCCCCATTACCTAGAGCTGCTGTCATGTCTAGGCTACGTCCCATGGAAATTTATCACTTACACATCAAAGTCCCAAAGATGCAACTCCCTCCATCACGCCGATGGCGCGGTGATAAATATTTCATGAGCATCGCGTGGGCAGGGCCGATCTCCATTTTTATGGGTGAGAATTTGTTCAGCTCAGTCTCCAGGTTTTACTATTCACGGGGCAGTGTGCCCTGTCGAGCGTGCCACACGCCGCCGCATTCATCGTTCTGCTTCATGAGGAAATGACTGTCCTGAAAAAGAGAACAAGCAAAGCCAGAAGAACTGTTTCTTTGTTAAAATGATTAGTTCTGCTGCCCGGAGACAATAACAATCACCAGAAATCGCCTCGTCGCGGCGTCTTGGCCCACAAACGCGTAAGGTCTGGAAGGACGCGAGATGACGGGCTGAGACGCATGAGGCCCACGTGAAAAGGTCCTTTCTAAAGGTTAGACCATTCGAAATCTCATCTTAAAAGACTCGGAAAGGTTAAAATGCAAAGAGCAGCTTTCTTACATATACAAAGATTAATTGCAAAGGGTGTGCGTGCCTACTGTTTCATCGTTGAAATACATGACTATGTTTCTTTCTGGCTTTTTCTTTTATTCAAAAACCACCTTTCCACTTGCTAAGATAATATTCCCACGTTCAGTAATGAATTGCTTTTGCATATCTTAGGGTGATCTATCAGAGTGCGCTCTACCTGTCAGAATACATTTTGCACTAAAAGTAATGGGCGGGGAGGACTGTTGTCTGGGTGGGAACCAAAGAGCGTGACTACATCGGAGCTGTTTTCCCGGATCACCCTCTAAATGACAGGTGATCACCCTCTCAGTGACATTCGTCCGTGAGAACACAGGCGCCGCGGAACCCCCGGGGACGGGCCGGGAGCACGGGCGCCGTTTATTCCACTGGCGCCGCTGTGGTCAGTTCTTTCCAGGGTGCGTGTTGCAAGGTGCTGCTCGGATCTCGGGAACGTTTGCAGGAGCCAAGGTTCCTGATGAGCTCTTGTGCAGCCTGTGTCAGCACCTGCTCGCATCCTCAGAGATGGACTGGGGGTCACAGGTCTTCTCCTGACTGAGCCCCCTGAGAACAGAGTGAGCCCTGGCTGGGGTGGCTCCGTGGGTAGCGCGTCGGTCCCGGGTTCGATTCCGGTCAAGGGCACGTACCTTGGTTGAAGCTCTTCCTCAGCCCAGGCCCTGGTCGGGGCACGTGCAGGAGTCAACCAATCGGTGTGTCTCTCTCACATCGATGTTTCTCTCTGTCTTGCCTCTCTCTCCCACTCTCTCTGAAAAAAAATCAATGGAAAAATATCCTCTGGTGAGGATTACATAGTAATAATAATAATAACAACGAAAGCAACAGGTTTCAGGTCCCATAGCGTTCACCGGGAGGCCCCAGTTTAGATTCCCCCTGCTGGACTTCAGCCAGGGAGGTCACTGGAAATTCTGGGGTGTCGCAAACTCTCCCCCGGAAGTTTAGTTTGATTCCTGCTACGTCGTGGGTGGCACGTCCTTCCGTCGGGTGCTGCGTAGTTTTGGGTCCAAAGGCCTTGTTGAGGGTAACCTCTGTGCTTTGAACTCTCCGTTCACGTCAAGCGGGGGCACCCCCGCACCCCCCACCCCCGTGCATCCAGGTGTCGTCCTGAGAAATGCCGCGGAGCTCAGCGCCGCGGAGCTCAGCGCCGGTGGGGTGTCCGCACGGACACGGCGGTGACAGGGGGCTCTTTAATCACGGTCTGTGTTTCGCTCACCTGTCTGACAGGACCCGGAGCTGGTGCGGAACATCTGCCGCTGGGTTCGGCAAGCGATTCGCATTCCATTTTTCGCCAAATTGACCCCCAACGTCACGGACATCGTCAGCATCGCGAGAGCTGCCAAGGAAGGTAAGGCTCCTAGACCCGCGCCGATGGCCCAGGCGTGCACTCGCGCCTGAAGGATGGAGTCACACACAGTTCATCTCTGGCCACGAATGTACGTGTGTGTCTTGGTTTAGAGCAGCGGTTCTCAACCTGTGGGTCGCGACACCTTGGGCGGTCGAACGACCCTTTCACAGGGGTCGCCTAAGACCATCCTGCCTATCAGATATTTACATGACGATTCATAACAGCAACGTTACAGTTATGAAGTAGCAACGAAAATAATTTTATGGTTGGGTCACAACATGAGGAACTGTATTTAAAGGGCCAGGAGGTTGAGAACCGCTGGTTTAGAGGTTAAGGAAAGCATCAGAGTGAGCCTGATCTCACAGACCGGTAGATGCCCCTAGACCAGGGTTTAGAGCAGGGGTGGGCAAACTTTTTGACTCGAGGGCCACAATGGGTTCTTAAACTGGACCGGAGGGCCGGAACAAAAGCATGGGTGGAGTGTTTGTGTGAACTAATATAAATTCAAAGTAAACATCATTACATAAAAGGGTACGGTCTTTTTTTTTTTTAGTTTTATTCATTTCAAACGGGCCGGATCCGGCCCGCAGGCTGTAGTTTGCCCACGGCTGCCCTAGACTCAGGCTCATAAAGAGACGCCAGACTTGGGAGCCAAGGAACATTCCTGTTTCCTCATAAACTGGTGTCTCACGCAGGGAGAATTATGAAACAAAGCCACAGTCACAACAGATCACCCGGAAACAAATGACATGATAATGTAACAGTCCCACAGCAGCATCTGAACCTTTAATAAAGTGAAAGAAAGATACCACCTTCCATGATGTGAAATTGCTGACGAGTTGCCATTATATTTTATTGGGTGTGCCTAGTACACTGCCTTAAACATATGTGCAGCAGACATCTCTTGAATCCATAAATTATAGGGTCAGTGCATGATTTTACAAATCATCTACGCTGCCTTCTACCCACTGGAAATTGCATCCTGATTTGCAAATATATTACACATATATATTGTAAATTACCTGGAAAATAGCGTTGAGTACAGAACATTTGGCATCCATACGTCTGTACAGGAATCGGGAACATGGAGAGGCAGTGGTTAACCACGTGTGCGCCGAGCGTGTTAAGTGCAGTTGGAGGAGCAGGCTTAGGGCAGACTCCGGGTGGGGAAACACTCGCGTGAGGCGGTGCCGGGCATGTTTTCCCGGGCTGTCGGGTCTGAATGGGTTTCCCCGTGTCCCTTTAAAAACTGCAGGTCAGTGGTGATGTGTTTTCCGCAGGTGGCGCCGACGGTGTGACCGCCACCAACACGGTCTCGGGCCTGATGGGACTCCGAGCCGACGGCACGCCCTGGCCAGCAGTGGGCGCCGGGAAGCGGACCACGTACGGAGGAGTGTCGGGTAGGTGGTGCCCTCCCTGGCGTCTTGCTCTCGGGGACGGGGACGCTGCTGAAAGATCGGAGTGCGTGTCCCAAGCAAGAGTCTCGGGTCTTTGACGACCCCACCTTGTGGTGTTGCTGGTGACAGTTCCCAGTGGGAAGGACAGACGGCTACCTGGGAACTGGAGGCTGCCTCTGATGGCTCGAGGTGAGGGGACGCTGAGTGAGGGCTGTACGGGATTCTGTCCCCTGGGTCCACATTTCTCATCGTCACGATTGTCTTGTCACTGACGAGTGAAGACTCCCGCCGGGGCCTGCAGGGGAGCACAGGCGCCTGATGTTCGTGTCCTCCTCACAGTCTCCATTCGTTGGCACATGTGCTAGGACTTTGAAATCAACCTTCTCAAACCATCTGGCTTTCCGCTGCCCCAGACAAATGGGGCCGTTTGTAGCGTGTGCAGCTTCAGCCCAGAGGCAGTGGCAACCTCGCGTCCCGCACACCTTCTCGCGGCATCGAACACCTGCCTTTAAAGCAGAGCGGGGCCCACCCGGCGCAGCTCAGTGGGTCCCGGCTGCCCCAGGAGCTCATGGTTCGATTCCTGGTCAGGGCACAGGCTCAGGTTGCGGGCTCGATCCCCAGTCGGGGGCGTGCAGGAGGCAGCTGATCCGTGATTCTCTCTCATCATTGATGTTTCTATCTCTCTCTCCTTCTCCCTTCCTCTCTGAAATCGATAAAAAATACATTTTTTTAAAAAGAAAGAAAAGGTTATACAGTGGGGCCTTAACTTACGAGTTTAATTCGTTCCGAGACCGAGCTCGTTAAGGAGCTTGTTAACTCAAATTACTCTGTCAACTCAATGCAAAAAATCGGCCGAGAGACAGCTGGTGTCTCAAAAAACTCGTTAGTCGGGACACTCATAAGTCAAGGCCCCACTGTATTCTGCTTCTGACTGAATGCCACTCCCCACAACTTCCCATTATGTCAGGAGGAGGAGGAGGAGGAGGAGGAGGAGGAGGAGGAGGAGGAGGAGGAAGGGGAGGAGGTGCGGGAGCTACCAGAGGGGCCTGGAATGCCATCACGGTGCGGAATCTCATGGGCCGCTCCACGGTGCCCATGGATGGAGGCAGGAGACCCCGAGCAGACCGTTGCTGGCACTGTCTCGTCGGCCACACTGCTGCAGGGGAATCGAGGCGCCCCCGAGGGGCTGAGCATTCCAATCGATGAGGGAACGATCGCGGTGGTGTTCTACGTCCGGTCCGTAGCGCCATTCACGGGGCTCGCGGAAGCTGCTGTTCCCTCATAGTCTCTGCGCCGTCACTCAGTCCCACAGCCGGCGAAGTCGCAGCCACAGCGCGAGCCTCTGTGCGCGCACACCGGTCACGGCCGCGGCCCCGCACACGGGCGTTGCTGAGATTTATGAACTCCTGGACAAACACCGCTCGGGCCCTAAGCTGGGCGAGGCCTCAGTGGAACGTTCCCGGCAAACAAAACGCCCCCCACGCCTTCAAGAGCTGGGACCTCATTTCCAGCAGGTTCTCCGCTAAGTCCCTTCCCGTTGGACCATCTGTTTTGAAAAGAGCCTCTCTCCATGTTGACACAAGGAATCGTTTTCCGCCGTGAAAGCTGTGTTTGCTTTCACCTCGAGGTAATAGAATCTGAGAAGCGGCTGAAGGAGGCAGGGAATCTATTTTCAGGGCAGGAGCAGCTCCGCGGCAGTGCCTTCCGCACCGAGCCTCGCAGTCTGTGTGAGAGGGGTGGGTTTCCCATTGTAGGGGCGGTGGGAACGAGGCGGCCACGTTCCATTCCTGGGTTTATCGGCTGTGGGTTCGAGACCCCAAATGCAGCTTCTCTCCGGGGCAGTTCACCAAATTTGCCACCAGATACTTTCATAAGATTAAAAAAAATAGGAGAACATATTGGCCAAATGATACATCTGATAAGGCTTAATATCCAAAATTTATAAAGAACTTTTACACAAACTGAACAAACAATCTGATTAAAAAATGGGCAGAAGACCTGGATAGACACTTCTCCAAAGAGGACGCACAGGTGGCCAACGGACACATGAAAAGATGCTCAGCGTCACTGATCATCAGAGAAACCCAAACGAGAACCACAAGGAGGTACCGCCTCACGCCTGTCAGAACGGCTGCCGTCAGTAATCCACAGACACGTGCGGGCGAGGGTGTGGAGGAAAGAGATGTTGGTGGGAATGCAGTTGGTGAGACCACTGTGGAGAGCAGTATGGAGTTTCCTCAAAAAGTTAAAAATGCCATTGCCTCATGACCCAGCGATCCCACTTCTGGGAATATATCCGAAGGAACACAAACCATTGATTTAAAAGAATACATGCACCCCTGTGTTCATTGCAGTGCTATTTACAATAGCCAAGATTCAGAAGCAGCCCAAGTGCCCATCAGTAGACGAGTGGATAAAAAAGCGGTGGGACATTTACACAGTGGAATACTCCTCGGCCATAAAAGAGAGGGACCTCCTACCTTTTTCAACAGCATGGGTGGACCTGGAGATTCTTATGCTCAGTGGAATAAGCCAGTCGGAGAAAGACAAATGCCATACGATTCCCCTTATATGTGGAATCTAATGAACAAAATAAACAAACAAATAAGAAGCTGACTCATGGATACACAAAACAGATGGACAGCTGTCAGCGGGGAGGGGAGTTGGGGGGCTGGGTGAAAAAGGTGACGGAATTAAGCAAAAATAAAAACAACAACTCAAACAGAGACAACAGTGTGGTGATGACTAGAGAGGGGGTGGGAGAGGTGGATGAGGGGAAAAGCAGGATATGTCGTGATGGAAGAGTAATTGACTGTGGGTGGTGAACACATGATCCAGTGTATTTACGATGTATTATAGAACCGTACACTTGAAACCTAATTTTATTAACCAGTGTCACCACAATAAATTCAGTAATTAAAAACACACACAAATGCGATGGTCTGAACCTTGCTTTGGCCAGTAGGGACTTTCTACTGTAAGTGGCTACTCCCTACCTTTCCTTTTTCTAGGATCCATGCAGGGAAATTGTTAACATCCAACAGCAGCTCACGGAGCACCACACCGTTGAATATATTATTGGGGTTTCTTTGCGGGGAGGGTAGGATCCCTCGGGTTAATTTGATTGGAAGAAACACTCATCTCACCAGTGACATTATTTAGAAACGCCATCGTCAAGTGGATGACTCACTATTTTTCCTAGTTTTCGTTATTTTTTTTTCTTGTTTTAGTCTCAAGTTACTTCGTTTCAAATAGTGACATCTTAAGACAGCTCCGAACCCAGGGACAGCCATCACCTGTGTAAGCGGAGCCGTCCAGCCGTGGTGTGACATGTCCCATGAGGTCCTCCCTGGGGGCAGTGTCCTTTCAGACATGGGTACGAATGAGTCCTGCGGGCTTGCGTGCGTGCGTGCGTGTTTTATAGGAAGCCGTTCTTCACGGGCTGGATTTTTTATGTGCCAATCACGGGGTTATTGACACATAAAATTCTTTTAGAAAAGGGCGCCTAGTGTCTCACAAATTTCAGCTATCGATTATAACCATCGTTACCAATAAAAGCTTACATTTTGATATTGAAATGACTATCATAACCTGATAAAGGTAATATTTAAATGAATAACAAAAAATGATAAATCATGCCAAAAGAATAATTCAAAGGAGAGCCTTCTGCTTGCTACCCACTCATCTCTCTTGTGTGTGTGTGTGTGCATATATGTGTGCCCCAAAGTGATGCCAAAACACACCCAGCCTGTGATTCCCATACTAGGATGTGAAAACGTTCTCCGACGATCACACGTTTTACTGATCAAATTATTAAAGGCCCCGGTCTGCGCTGTGTTTACAGAACGGCCCAAAGGAGGCAGATCAAATAGAGACGCGCGTGGCAATTCCCAGCATAAAGGAGCCTTGGGTTTGAGAGAGGCTCAGATTGGACCCGTCCTCATTTGCATGCGCTCATTTGCATATGCTCCTGTGCTGATTGACAAGGCGTCCCCCTCGGCATTGTGTCGCCTTCCCCTCCGCCTGGTCCCTGGCTGCCTGGCCGCCTCGGGTCTGCGCGGGAGATCAGAGCCCTAATAATAGATTTTTGACAGCGAGCTCGCCTGCTACCTGCCCGACACAAGTCCTCACTGTTCGTGTTTGCTTCCTGGCAACCGAGCAGACAGGAGGGAAATGCCAGGCGCAGAGCCTGCCATTTCAGCAGGAGAGCGCTGCACAGAGGCCTCCTTCCATCATTTTTCACGGGGCCTGGCGGCCACGGCCACAAGCCCACACCGCCCGTGGGAGGACTGACGGGAGGGCAGAGGTTTCCAGCGTAGACAGTCTGCGTCCTCCCGTGCGTTTTTTAAAATAACCGTGGCCCTGCAGGTGGACGGTAACACCACGCCGTGTTTGCGAGCCGGCCCTTCCTGGGCCTGTGGGGATGGGGTATATTTTCTTTTGTTCAAAACGAGGAAAATCAATGCGTGTCTGTCCCAGCCTCTAAGAAAATATGTGATAGACTCTGTAAACCCCAGGACCTGACAGGCATATTAAGAAAACTTACCTCGGCAGCCATGGCCATGAATTATTAAATTCCTTTCCTCTGTGTGTGTGTGTGTGTGTGTGTTTTCTTCCTTTTCCTAAAGAATGATTTCAGGCTTGAAACTAATCAAAAAATGTTCTCTGGCGAAAGTAAAACTAGAGCGCAGCGTGTCACTGTGGGAGCAGGCGTTTAAATATTCACGGAGCCGTGCCTCTCCTGTGCTAGGAGAATCGAAGGACGCGGGGCGACCGTTTCATTGGGAGCTGCTCATCTCCGCCAGCCTCAGAGGCAGTTCCCGCTCACCGCCTCGCCCGGGACAGGGGACAGGACGTGGGATTAATTAGGGAAGCCTGGCAGAGAGCCGGGTTCCCAGGGTGTCAGGATTCCAGGTTAATGTTAAGCATTTTCTGAGGGCCTGACGCTGAAATCTCAGGGGCCGTGCCGAGCAGCGAGCCGTGGATTTAGCCAGGGCCACCTG